ATGGCACAGCTGTCACCGTAGGTCAATGAGAAAGGACAGGTCATTCTATGATGATACTAATTCATTGGTTAGTTATATGAGAAAAAAATCTCTACCTCACAGTTAACACACACGCAAAATCAATTCCAGGTGAAATAAATACTTAAGTGTGAAAAGCAAAACTTTAGAATTTTTAGAATATAGACAAATATCTACCTTTAACAGTCTTTTCTAAACAAGAGAGAGAAAGATAAACTGATAACCCAAGATATCTAGAATATATATAATAGGAATTCCAGATTGAGAGCACTTAAAAATGACTTGAATGTAGAAATTAAAGAAAACAATCTATTATAATATCAGCAGAATTTTTAAGGAGCTGGTTCTTTGGATGGAAAACAGCTATAAAATACATGAAATTATATGAAGCCTAATAAAAAAGGAAAATAACACAAATACATAAAATTAAGAATAAAGATGAAAACAGAATAGATACAAAGCTTTTATTATAGTAATATGTACAAATTTATACCAATGTTAACAGGCAGTATGTGATGACATCTCAGCTACCAAATTGATTGAAGAAGTACAAAATGATCAAAGAATCCCCTCCCAGAAAATGTGTTGAGCCCAGTTTTACAAATGCGTACAAGACAGTTGCATCGTATACAATTATATAAGATATGCATTCCTGAAAATCTTCTATAATTCAAAACATATAACATAACACCACTTTAGAGAAAAAATCATGGCTATCCTGTATTAGCTACATAGATACAATTTCACCACCTTTTAAATTACATGATTGTCAGTCTTTTTTTTTTTTAATTTAGGTTTCCTACTATTATACATTTTGTACATAAAGCCAAACTATTGGAATATTTGTATCATATCATTTCCAAACTGCATAATTTAAGTTCATAAACAGTGTCTCTAGTGTATTTTAGGGCCTTTCAGCAACAATAATTATCATGCCACAGAGCCTGTTTAAGAGCACAGAAAGTAGAAGCACACCTGAAAAGGATTTTAAGGGACTAGTATAACCCTGACATCAAAGTGTAACAAAGACACCTTGAAAGTCATACTTTCTAATAGAGATGTAAAAATCCTAAGTAGTAGCAAATCTAACTCAATAATGTATAATAGAAGCTCTCCTTAAAACTTCTTCTTAGCCAGGATTAACAAATGCTGTCTGTCCTGTCTGCAACAATCTGCCTGAGGTCCAGAACCACTGACTGTCCACAGCTGTTCTAGGATGCCCACTGCAGCTCCAGAAGATGAGCTGGGTGTTTGCCATCAGTCAACTATGTTTCCTCCAAGACCTGTTTATGCCAGTTGTACTAATAGAGTAATTGGATAAACAAAGTATATACTGAAAAACACATAGAATTTGGATACAAAAAGGAAGGGCATTGTATCCATGAAAACTAATTTAAGGCTTTTGTGTTTTGGTGGAGTTGTTTGTTGCAACAAGGTCTCACTTTGTCACCCAGACTAGAATGCAGTGATGCTATCACGGCTCACTGCAACCTCGTCCTCCAGGGCTCAAGCAATCTTCCCACCTCAGGCTCCTGAATAGCTGGGACTACAGGCATGTGCCATCACACCTGGCCAATTTTTGTATTTTCTGTAGGGAAAGGGTTTCACCATGCTGCCCAAGCTGATCTCAAACTCCTAGGCTCAAGCAATTTGCCTATCTCGGCCTCCCAAAGTGCTGGATTACAGGCGAGAGCCACCACACCTGGCTTGCTTTCGATTTTTTTTTTTAAGTGAGGACTATCATGTACAAGGGAGATAACATAAAAGGTGGAAGGGCATCTTAAACTCTAAGAGGACTCCACACTCAGATTTTTTTTTTTTTTTTTGCAAGTATCGTTACGTTCTCATCAAACTTTAATAAACCTAAAACTAAAAATCCTAGATAATGCATTTTGGATTTGATTTATACCAAAAGGATGACATGACACACAAGTCAGCACATCCAAATTCAAAAAGAGGGCATGGCACATGTCAAATGATTGACAAATAAAGTTAAATGGATATGGTTAAAAACAAAATGTTTGTGGTACTTTTTTTTTTTTTTTTTTTTTTTTTTTTGAGATGGAGTCTCGCTCTGTCACCCAGGCTGGAGTGCAGTGGCTGGATCTCGGCTCACTGCAAGCTCCGCCTCCCGGGTTTACGCCAATCTCCTGCCTCAGCCTCCCGAGTAGCTGGGACTACAGGCGCCCACAACCGCGCCCGGCTAATTTTTTGTATTTTTAGTAGAGACGGGGTTTCACCGTGTTAGCCAGGATGGTCTCGATCTCCTGGCTCACCTCAAGATCCGCCCACCTCGGCCTCCCAAAGTGCTGGGATTACAGGCAAGAGCCACCACACCTAGCCTGTTGGTGGTACATTTGTATGACTTTTAATAAGTCCCTATTTAATCAACTTTTTCAATTAGCCAATCAACTACCTGTCTTGACCGCATTGGATAAGGTGGCTGCAACTGTAGTAAACTATAATACCATGACCAATTGACCGATTTGGGTTTACCCCAGGAATATAGCACAATTATACACCGTATTAACAGACAATGGAAAATAAAATTATCATCTTAATAAATGCCAAATGACATTTGAGAGAATTAAACTTCCATGCCTAATTTTTAAGCTATTAATAAACTAACAATCAGCTGGGTACGGTGGCTCACGCCTATAATCCCAGCACTTTGGGAAGCCAGGGAGGGTGGATCACTTGAGGTCAGGAGTTCAAGATCAGCCTGGCCAACATGGTGAAACCCTGTCTCTACAAAAATACAAAAATTAACAAAGCGCGGTGGTGGGCACCTGAAATCCCAGCTACTCAGGAGGCTAAGGCAAGAGAATTGCTTGAACCCAGGAGGCAGAGGTTGCAGTGAGCCAAGACAATACCACTGTAGTCCAACCTGGGCAACGGAGCGAGACTCCATCTCAAAAACAATAAATAAACAAACAAACAAACAATAAAGGACACAACCTTGCCAAAATCAAATATCTGTCTGAAACCATCAATAATTATCCTAATTAACGGAAATCTGGTAGAGGCATTCTCATTAGAATGAATGACTAAATAAGTCTGCTCAGCAGCATCTCAAATATCAAATGGTATTTGGAAAAAGGAATAAGCCGTTATTATTAGAAAGAAACTAACATGTTTATCATTATTTGAAGAAAACGATCTTACCTACTTGGAAAACCAAACAGAATCAAAGAACAATAGTCAGAACTAATAAATGGGGCTTTAAAAAGAGTCACTTCCAAAGTAAATATACAAAAATATTATTTTCCCATATTCTAGCAATAGTTTGACAAAGTCATAAGAAAAACAGATATTCCATTTAGAACAGCACCAAAGACCATAAAATGCCTGGGAATACACCTTAACAAGAAATGGCCTGAACAGGTGTACCTGGGGGTAACAAAACAAAACAAAACAAAAAAACAGAAAGAAATCATCTGGACGGACATATATAAAGTAAACTAAAGTAAGTCCTTTAAGGGACAAAAGAAGACAATAGAAGAAATAAACGAACTAAATGGCAAATGATACGTAGTTAAAAGTTCATATGACATGCAGCCATATCTTTAAAGAATACAAGAAAAGGCTGGGTGTGGTGGCTCATGCCTGTAATCCCAGCACTTTGGGAGGCCGAGGCGGGCAGATCATGAGGCCAGGAGTTCGAGAACAGGATGGCTAACATGGTAAAACCCCATCTCTACTAAAAATACAAAAAATTAGCCAGGCATGGTGGTGCACACCTGTAGTCCCAGCTACTCAGGAGGCTGAAGCAGGAGAATTACTTGAACCCGGCAGGTGGAGGTTGCAGTGAGCCAAGATCACGCCACTGCATTCTAGCCTGGGCAACAAAGGAACACTCTGCCTCAAAAAAAGTATATATATAATATATAGTATATATTATATACATTATATATTATATGCATTATATATTATATAATATATATTATATAACATAATATATACAAACAAATATGGAAAAATATTCATATATACTTTTAAATTTACAAAATCCAAATTAGAAAAAAACTATGATCTCAATTTTGTTTTTAAAAAGTATTCATGTGAGCTTAAAAGACATCTAAAAAATGAAAGCACATCAAAATCCTAACAGTGCCTATCATTAACTGGTAGGAATAAAAGTGGTTTTAACTTCCTGCTTGACACTTTTTGTGTTTTCCATATTTTATTTAAAAAAGATAAATCAGAAAAAATATATATCTATATCGATAGTCTCCTTCTAGAAGTTCATGAGACCCCCAGTTCAGCAGTGCCTCCTCTTGACACCATAAGTAGAATGTAACTCACTGCCTTTGGCAAGTTCTGTCTCTTACGCCACCCTCCACAGGTCAGGGGCTCCCACTGGCCCTCAGCATAGGTCTTCAGGAGCACATGCTGAAGGCTAGACACCAAAGTCATCTTCCTAGAGGGACCCACAGCCCAGAAAGATGACACCTAGGGAATCCACTCAGGCAAGCAGAAAGGAGCCCTGCCAGAAACTGCAGGAGCAGACTGTTGGCCCAAGCAGACCTCTTAGCACCCAAGGGGGCCAGCCAGGGTTCCTCGGTCACACACCCCCTTCACACATCAGGGAGGAGCACAGAAAGTCAGCCTGCCGTCTGAGGTCCCGCGCCCAGAAGAGGCTTCTGAGGTCCCACACTCCAGAAGTCAGAGTCTAATCGAGAGGTTTCCCTGCCTCCACTGGCCCATGCAGCCCCACCTAAGCCCCCAGTCCTCACACAGGTAAATAAAATTAAGGTAAATCCCAGGAAGTAACCTAGGGGTGTCCATTTCTGAGCATCTACTCTATAGCTTTCTCTCACTCCTCCTTTACAGTGAGGCAAAGATAGGTGACTTTCCTGCTAGGGCTCAGGAAATACCTCCTTTCTTCCTTCCCACTCTTCCCTCCCGTTTCCCTCCTAACCCCCTACCCCCAGCCCCACAAGGGAACACAAGGAGCCCACAAATAAGTAAACAATACATACATGAGGACTGGATGGAGGAGAAGCCGTGTTAGTAGGGGCCAAGCTCGACAGACCGTCTGCAAGCTACAAACGAAACATGCTGGTTAGCAACGGGATTAGAGAATCCACTTCAGGGAAGGCTGGACAGTCCCCAGGAGGTAGCGCTCTCTGACCAGGCACCCTCTGCTCTTCCTCCAGGGAGAACATGTGCTTTGGAGTTGGACAAGCCTGGCTCCAACACCTCACCAGATGTGTGACTTTGGACAAGTCCCTTGACCTCTCTGAATCAGCGTCCTATCTGGAGAATGGGTCCAAAGCCCACCTCACAAGGCGACAGTGAGTACGAATGAGATGAAGGCTGGGCACGTCCAGCACAAGGCAAGGCACGTGGAAGGAGCTCAGCCAATGCCTGACTCCTGCCCACTCTCTCACATGTCCTCCCTCCCTCTCCAAAATCTGCCTACTTCAGGGACACTCCAACTCCCCAGCATCCTAACCACTGAGCCACACTAACACTGCAGGGCATGGTTCCTAAGCTACAGCAGGTTACTCAGTGCTCCCTCCTCCAGGACAAGAACCAGGGCATCATATGTCTTCTCCAAAACCTGACATCAGTGGGGACTTTAGGAGTCTTACAGTCCAACCTCCACTCCATGCTACAGATCACTTTCTGCATCTTTTTCTGAGCATCAGCTCCTTGCCTGCAATCTCCCAGTACTGTGAATCAATATTTCATAATGTTCACCTTAAGAAATCCCTGCGCTGCAGCCTGAGGAGGGCCTCGGGGCTCAGGGCTGAAGGCAGGGAGACTTGTTCAGAGGCCACTGCGATACTCTAGGAGAAGGGAATGGGGCTCTGGGTGGATGAGTACCAGGCTAGCAGGTGGGCAAGCTGAGAAGATGCATGCTAGGCAGAGGGAATCGCAAGCGCAAAGGTGGAGGGGAAGAAAGCAGCACAGCCCCTTCAAGAAAGAGCAAAGGGGTCAGGAGGGTAGGTGCTGGGGAGCAGCCAGCTGGGACCCAGAGCTGCCGGGGCTGGCTCCTCATCCTCTAAACCTCGAGCTGGGGACTCTGGGAGGACTCCAAAGGGCCAAACCCCAGGCTGCCCTGCCTTCCTCAGCACGAAGATTCTGGGAGACACTCCCCAGATGCCCACAGAAACCCACGGAAGGTGAAGCCCTGCTGGGCCCAGGAGGGGTGTTTGGGAACTGGGATCCCTCCCTGCTCTGTGAAAAGACACATCACTGAGGGGCCACTCAGGGTTGTTCAGAGCCAGAAGCAGAATCAGCCCTGGGCACCTAGCCAGGGCTGCTGGATGGCCCTGGGGTGCTAGCCACATGTCGTGTGACCCCTGGAATAGACTGGGTGAACTCCACGTGCCACCCCCAGCTGGCCAGAGATGGGCCTCGCCAGGCAGCAGCTATGCCCCTCCCATTCGCATCCTGAACCCCACAGAAGCCTTACTGTTATTTTTAATGCAGTTCTTTTTTAGAAAGGTGAGAGGGAAACCGGCAGTTCACCAGAGCAAAATAAAGCTAAACATAGTGTTCCAAAGATCTGGTCCAGCTTCAGAAATTACACGTTCCCCTTTGGGACTCAGGCATAATTTGCCACTCTGGTTCTGGGAGCACGTTCCCACCTTCACGGCATCCCAGAGACTATAACCAGAGCAGCAGGCTCAAAATTAGCCCCAGCCCCAGCGCCTGGGAGCCTGGGAGCCTGGGAGCCTGGGAGCCGGCCAGCCCCAGCACCCGCCCCACAGAGTGAGGAAACAGTCTCCCGAGGCCTCCTGCACACTAGCCGGCCAGGCCTGTCTCCTGCTGGCACCCCACGCTCACCACACACACAAAACACACACACAGACACACACCCACCACCTCTACTCCACATATACACCCACCTCTGCCACACACATCTCTACCACGCACACACACACATCCCACCTCTACCACACACACCACCTCCTCTACCACACACACCACCTCCTCTACCACACACACCACCTCTACCACAAACACCCACCACCTCTACCACACACACACCACACCTCTACCCCACACAAACACACACACTCCACCTCTACTACACATACCCCACCTCTACCATACACACACACACACCCCACCTCTACCACACACACACCACCTGTACCACACACCCCTCTACCACACACACACACCACCTCTACCACACACACACCATCTCTACCACAAACACCCACCACCTCTACCACACACACACCACACCTCTACCCCACACAAACACACACACTCCACCTCTACTACACACACGCCACCTCTACCATACACACACATACCCCACCTCTACCACACACACACCACCTGTACCACACACCCCTCTACCACACACACACACACCACCTCTACCACACACACACACTACCTCTACCACACACACACACCACCTCTACCACACACACACCACCTGTACCACACCCCTCTACCACACACCCCACCTCTACCACACACACACTACCTCTACCACACACACACACCACCTCTACCACACACACACACCACCTCTACCACACACACACCACCTGTACCACACCCCTCTACCACACACACACCCCACCTCTACCACACACACACACACTACCTCTACCACACACACACCACCTGTACCACACACCCCTCTACCACACACACACCCCACCTCTACCACACACACACACACCACCTCTACCACACACACACCACCTGTACCACACACCCCTCTACCACACACACACCCCACCTCTACCACACACACACACACCACCTCTACCACACACACACCACCTGTACCACACACACCTCTACCACACACACCACCTCTACCACACACATCACCTCTACCCCACATGTACACACACCCCCTCTACCACACACACACACCACCTCCACCACGCATACACCACCTGTACCACACACACACACACCACCTCCACCACACACACCCCACCTCCACCACACACATCACCTCTACCACACACCACCTCTACCACACACACTCTCCACCTCTACCACACACATCACCTCTACCACACACCACCTCTACCACACACACTCTCCACCTCTACCACACACATCACCTCTACCCCACATGTACACACACTACCTCTACCACACACACACCTCTACCACACACACTTGTACATACACACACGTACCTCTTTGTCACATACAACATACACACAGAGTCTCACTTCCAAGCCTTTGCCCGAGCCCTTTTGCCTGCCAGGAAAGCCTCCCTGTCCTCCCCTGTTCACCCACCCGCCTCAGAGGCCCCTCCCCGGAGAAGCTTCCCCGGATGCTTCACCTATGCTGAACCTGCAGGGCCAGGAGACTCCAAGAGTTTGGTCTCCTTGTTAATGAAGCATCTCCTCACTTTGGCATCACTTATTTGAGATCTTCTGGACATCCCCTCTTCCCTTGTCTCTTTGTGACCAGAGCTGGAACTTCCTAAAAGTTATTTCTCTAATTCTTCAGCACACACATATTCCCACCTCCCGAAATTCTCCTTCTCTGAAGACTTAAAGAGGAGCCCCTCTACCCAAGAGCGCTCTCAGAATGCTCAGCAACAGCCGCCCTTGCCATACCCAGCTGGCTCTGGGGGCATCTCAGTGCCTCAAAGGTGTGATTTCTGGGGGCACAGCCTCTATTTGGAGCTTCAAGACTCTCTATAGAAAAGGGACAGGGGGTGGCAGGCTCTCTGTGTGTTCCTGAACACTCTTTTTTCTTCCCCTAATCATAGTTACAACACCAAGAACTGCCTTAATAAAAAATAAATAAATAAATAAATAAATAAAAACTAGTGAACGAAGAACTTAATTTTATTTTAAAGGTAGAAATGAAGTCAAAGACAGAATCAGAGACAGAAAGAGAAATCCAGAAGGAAGAGGAAAGAATGGGAATGAAATGTTGGGAGCTGTGCATTCAGATTGTGTGTTTGGGTGGGTTTCAGTATTTTTCTATATTTTCCAAATGCTATATAAAGAACACATATCATTTTATCGTCTGAAAACAATGAAACATCATTTTCTAAAGCAGAGAACTAGATGGAATAGGATACTTCTGCTCTCCCTATTTGATGACACACCCAGGCCTGCCCTCAGAAAGTTCAAAGTCAAGGCCACAATTCCTGCACTGCCACCACCAAGCCTAGACACTCCTCTGGCCAGCACCCATGGGAGCTCGTGCACACACCTGCTCCTATCCCCCCACCTCTCATGCACACTCATGTGCACACACCACCCCCACCCCTAGTCTGCCAGGCTAAAGTTTACACATAGGATGGTTGCACTGACCAAGAACAAGTGGTGGAGTTAATACGTCTGAGTATTTCTCATCCCAATCCTCATTGCCATGGAGAGTTTAAAGAGGCCAGGCACCACCCAAGCAGGGGCCCCCGCTTACTCCTAGAGACAGACACTGATCTACAAGCCCTGGGAGGTTGAGCACAGACCTGCCTTATACACGTTTTGAGTCACCTCCAGAACTGGCCACTCTCGACACAAACCAAAACACTTCTAGAAACCTGAGAAATGCTCCGTGGTGAGTGTGCCAGCCCATGGCCTGAACATCAAGCAAGGGTCTCCAGTGACATGTTCTAAATGTGTGGCCAGCTCATCTCAGGACCTGGGCAGATGCTGGTAAGAAGGCTTCGGGAGCAGAGAGAAGGTGTCACTGAGGAAAGAGACAGGAAGGGACCAAGATGGAAAGGTAACTCTGGCAAGAGCAGGTTTGAGCTAGGAGGGGTCCTAGGACCACAGCCAGGACACGGTGAACACATCCAGCACCAGGCAGGGCTGCATCAACTGTGAGGATGGAACAGGCTGCTGAGAAACACCGGTGGGGCAGACAGGAGCCAGCCAAAATCCAAATTCTGCCAGACCTCTCGTCCCTCCTGTCCCCAGAGGCCAGGGACTTTCACGCTATCTGCATTGGAGGAGGAGGGAGAGGAAGAGAGCCCAGCCATAGTTATCTAGCAAACCACTGGAACTGTACCCAGGGTCAGCTGCCTCCTGGGTTGGCCTTGGAGCGCCTGTCCTCCAGAGTGCCAGGGACAGGGAGGAGAGGCGAACAAGTGAAAGATTTCCTGGATCAGCCCAATCAGAGCAATAGATCTCAGAGAAAAACAGGAACAAAGTCAGATACCAGACAAGGGGCTTCCCCAGAGGGCAAGGGCTCCCTGGAGACCAGAACTGGTCTCCCTGCTGGGTTTGAGGCTCTTGAGAACAGAGTTTTGTCTCCTTCATCAGACAGGGAGCTCCATGAGGGCAAGGTCCAAGCCTCCCCCATCAGAGCAAGGCAGTGTCATTTCCTCCTCCTCCCCCATCCCAGGCCAGGGGAGGCCCAGCCCCTCCCCAGGTGGGCACACCTCCAGGAGCCCCATCCCAGCTCCAACCAGTGCTGCTGGTCTGGCCGGCAGCTCTAGCCAGAGTGGCCGTGTGCTCCCACAAACAGCACAGGCCTGGCTCTGGCTCAGACCCCAGCCCCAGTTCCCTCATGTCAACGCCGGGAGGATGGCCAGGCTGGGCCTCCTCATCGTCTGCCTCTGGCTGTGCTTGTGGCCAGCAGGACCTAAAATAGTCCCTCCCCATCTGAGTGTGTAGACATTTTGAGGGCAGCACACACAGAACGGAAATCCTGCTGGGCAGGCCCTGCACTTCCCTGCACAATCTCAGACAGGCCCATGGAGCAGCCGGGAAACAGGAGCCAGGAGCAGGCAGCCAGAGTTTGGGGCAAATTATCTGCCTAATTCAGCTATAAACACCCAAGCAGGCCAGAGGCACTAGCACTGAGTTTAGTTAAATTTCACATAGGGACATCTGAAATTTCCATTTGAGTTTCCCCAGCCAAGAGAGTGATTCCTCCTCAGATCCATACAGACAGTAGCCAGAAAATCCATCCATCCATCCATCAACCCATGCGCCCATCTACCTACTTGTCCAGACAGACAGACTTTCATTAACACCTCCGCTAAGCGAGGCCTTGTGCTGAGCACTGAGAATACAAAGAGGAAGGAGCCGCAGTTGCTCCCCAGAGCTCAGCCTGGGGAATGTGCTAACATCGACAGAGACGTGCAGGCCCTAGGGCAGCACAGTGACCCAAAATAGGCAAGTCTCACAGAAGAGGAGGAACCAGGAAAGACTCCCCCAGAGAGGTGACCATGCCTAAGTTAGATCTTAAAGAATGACCAAGAGTTGGCGAAGGGACAGGGGGCAGGAGGTCTTCCCAGCAGAAAGGCTGGCAGGGCAGTGCCCTGGAGAGCCATGGAGGCTGGTGAGATGGAACTCAGGGCTTCTGAGGACTTTTAGCATCAATGAAACTACAGATGCAGCAAGGCCCGAGGACACAGGTGTTGTCCACACAGGCCTGGAGGCTCTGCCTCTGGGTGGCTCAGAAGTTCTGGGAGCCCCAGGGTGCCAGGGGTGTGACCAGCATCTTGCAAAGCCCAGAGAGGAGGGTGACAACCTGGAACAGATGGTGAGTTCAAGGCTGGTGCTCACAGTGAGACCTTTCTCCATGTCTGCTGTGGGAAGGACCAGATGGGCTCAGCCCTACAGAATCTAGAGCCACTCCATGGCCCACAGTGGGGGCAGTGCTGCCTCTCAGCACAAGATGCCACAGACCTCCTGCCATGCTCTGTGGCACTGGCATCTGCATCACTGGCTGGCCCTTGGTTGCTGAGTATGTAGCAAAGGGATGACTCCTACCTCCCCCAGGGCTGGAGACCTTAGAATAATGCCCCTTCCTGCCTCTTTCCTCCTTTTCCCTGCAGATGGAGGAATGGGGTGAGATGGACTCTTGGCTTGGACACAGCCTCCTCTTTCTAAGCCGTCTCCAAGAAGCCACCAAGCACAAGCCCACAGAACAACCTTCCCCCTAAGAAGGGGCCTGTCCAAGGTAGGGAGATGGGGCTGGAGGATGCCAGAGATGGCCCACTTGCTCCCTCCCCTGTTGTCCTTCTCTCATTTGCTCCCCACCCTGATTTTCTCGTGATCTCCAGGAGAAAGCCCTCGCCATGGCCCCCAGGGTAGAGGGGCTATTTTTCACATATGCTTCCAAGAAAAGGGATTGAGTCTTGCGCAGATGAGCGCACCCCACCCCGCTCAGCCAGACTGACAGCTCCCATCTGGGTCTCTCTACTGGACAGTGTCCAGCTGCTGAAGCCCAGAAGGGGATGTGTATAGAGGCCGTGTGATCATGAAGGGTTGGAGAGAAGGGGTGGGAAGGGATGAGGAATGGAGGGGAAGGGTGACCCAGGCCTCCCTGGAAGATGTCCATCCTACCTGGATGGGGATGAGGGGCTCCTTGTCATCAATGTCGATGAGCACGTCTTCCCCAGGACTGAGTAGGCTCACATCGTCTGCAGGGGAGGGAGCCATCCAGGCCTGAGAGGGGCTCTCTCAAAAGACTCGCCCCTCACCAGCCCCAGGGCTCAGCCAAGGGACCGAGACAAGACCCTGCGGTCTCTCCACATCTCTCAGTCAGTACCTCTCGCTTCCTCCCTCCCAATAAGTTCCTGTCTCATCTCCATCTCTCCCATCCTCCTTCGCACGCCCTGTCTCCCACTTCTGTCTTCCTCTCCTCACATTTCTCTCCTCCCTCCCCGCATCATTGTCTCCCTGCCCTCTGTCTCCCTCCCCCCGGGGCCCACTTTGAGCCCTTGCCCCTCAGCTCCCACGGGTATCAGTTACCTGCTCCTGGTGCCCCCCCACCCAGAGCTAGGATCTGCCCTAAGGAAGGCGAGGTCCCCGCCCTGTGGTCTAGCAGAGCGGAAATCGCTTCTCATTCAGGTCTCCATATGAGAAGGACTTCAGGATGCATCTCAACTAGGAAGGGTAGCTTGGCCCTGAGGCCCCCCGTTCCCTGAGCTGCCCATCGTCTCCCCTTCCCCTACCTGGGCCACCCTGTGGGGATGGACTCTCCGCCGAGTAGGGGTCACACAGGAAGCTCTCCAGGGAGCGGATGGTACACTGGCCCACCACAGGCCGGCGGCCAAACTGGCGGTTATCGATGACCTTGATGGTGATGGGGGGGCAGTAGAGCTCCTCCCTGGGCAGCATCTGGGTGGAGGAGGAAGAACGCACTGGCCTGAATGCCTCTCTAGGAAGTCTCCAGGTCAAGCCCAAAGAGCAAAAAATGACTATAAACCACAGATAATCCCCACAGCCAGAAATCCAAAATGGTGGCTGGCCCAGAGCTGGGCAGTAGAGCAAAGCCACCCACCTTTTCTGTCAGCCCTTTGAATGCTGCATGCAGAGGCTGGCTTTCCCCCCACAGCTTTACCTTCCAAATACATCCCGTTCAGCCTGAAGTGAAAACAAGGCTGCGTTCCCTCACTGGCTGGGGAGCGGGCGAGGGGAGTTGGCCCGGGACTCAACATTTCTTGCAGACAGTCCCCCCCAAGTGGATACTCAATAGTTGGCTTATAGACCCAGATTCTTCTCCCCGCACACCCAAAAAGCACTTTGAACACAACTTGAAATAATTTATATGCTCTCCTTCGGGGCAGCTTTGGCTCAGCCAAGAGGAGGCTTCTGTTGACAGCCACTGGGCCTGGAATTTCTACAGCGCTTTCATCTTGCAAACCATTTTCTTTTCCTCAGACCTGCCTTACTCCGGCCACTAGGTCTAGGCATCCCAGGAAGCTGCAGAGGCCTGGGGGGCCTGAGGGCTGTGGGGGTGAGCTCCTTTTAGGGGGCACAGGCTGGGGTGGGACATGGTCAGAAAAGGTTTGGAGGAATCCTGGAAAGCCAAGCCCTAGCAGGTCCCTGAGGGTGCTCCAGGGGACTGAAACCTGTCCCAGAGGGAAAACAGCCAGGGGATGGCTCCTTGGGACTTTCGCTGATCCAGGATCTGGGTAGGAGGCAGAGTCTAGCCCCATTTGTCCTACTCAGAGGCCTGAACCCTTCCAGTGAGGAGGGTATGAGCATTTCTCCCCATGTTCACAGGAAGGTGAGGGGTCCTACCCTGGACCACGCAGGGAATTGGAGCACAAGTCCCAGGCTGCTCGGGGCCATGTAGAACTTCTAGCCCCAGGATTCTGGAAAAGGACAGTAGGGAGGTGGGGCTCACCACTTCCATGAAGAGGGTACAGATGTCAAAGTTGGGGTTCTTCCGGAGGTTCCTGATGACACAGGACTGCACCGTCTGGCCCCCACACTCTATCACAAGGCTCGGGGAGGAGATGCTGGCCAGCTGGTAACTCTTCATGTTCCGCAGGCCCCATGCCAGGACCTGGGCACACAGAATGAGGAGAGTGGCTTGGAAGGCCCCAGGCCCCAGGAAAGGCTGGGGCAGGAAGGGGAAGGGCATTCTGCTCCCAGCCCCCACGCCCAGGCCCGGCCGGCTCACCTCGATGGCGGTACGCTGGAGCGCTGGCTTGATGTTCTGAGGAACCATGTAGATGTTGGCCTCCCTCTGGGGTGGTGGGTAGGGCAGGTCTGTGTCCTCAGACTGCAGTGGACAGCAGGTGGAATGAAGGCAAAGGTGGGAAGAAGACCAAAGCAAAGACACAAGAGAGAAGGACAGATAGGACAGAAAGAAATGCCAAGTGCAGGGAGAAACAGAGAAGTAAAGACCGAAGTGGACAAACAGGGAGGCAGAAATGAGAAAGCTAAGTCAGTTTTGGCCAGGCACCATCTTCTCCAGGATCACAATTCCAGCACCTTCACCCAGGGTTCAGGTCACCCTGTTTCAAATGAATCCCTCCTCCCATAACGCAGGCTCTGCTGCCCCCTGAGCTGCTCCGGGTCTGCCCCTCCCTGACATGCACACGGCACATGTGTGCACACGCTGCCCACTCCATCCTGGCAGTCCCACTTCATCCCCTCTCAGTCCCAGAGAGGACCACGTGCCTGCCCCCCAGCCTGGTTCTCCTGCCTCCTGGCTCAGACCCTTCCAGGTTATCATCTGCCCTGGTATTTCACCCCCACCCCCATCCCCACCCCCAGACACCTTCCAGCCCCAAACCCCACCTCTCACACCTGTCCCCTGTGAGGACAGAACACTTGCACTGTGAGCCAGAAAGACAGCAACCGCCCAATGGGAGAAGGGGCTATAAGGGCCCGTCATCCCCAGAGAACCAAAGCACACTGCTGGGGAGGGTCTCTCTCCACTACAGAGACGAGCACGTGTGTGTCAATTCTGGCCTACTAAGGGTTTGCCAGAAAGAGTTGGGCAAAAATCCTCAATGATCACAAAGAACTACATGAGGAAGCAAGATGGGGCAAGGGAGGCAGGTACTGCCTTAGATAGTTAACCGCCAATAACAGCAGTTAGGAACACAGGTGTGAGTCCTACCTCCACTACGTATGACATTAAATAAATTATTTCACCTCTCTATGGCTTAATGTTTTCATCTATAAAATGGTTAGCAAAAGTTGTCAACCTGTAAAGGTCAGGGTGAGGGTTGAAGAAGTTAATACCTGTATAACATTTGGAGGAGTGCCTGGTTCATGTAAACCTTCAACAGGACTATTAGCCCATGTGGTGCTTTTGTGACGATTGGAGAAAGATGTGCTTAAGACTCTTTACTTCCATGTCAGAAAATCATCATATTTTCTGAGTTTATTTGAACAAGACACTTTACTGCCACCTATTGGGAAATTGTTATAATAAATACAAGTATATGGTGTCCTGTGCTAGAAATTGCACCCCCTTAGACACACAGTGTCCTTGTGCAGTGCCCAACCTGCACATCCATACGTGGAGGGCCTGACATGCAGGAAATGTTAACTATAATTAAAAGGACTGTGATGGACACTTTACAGAGCTTGCCTCATGTAATCTCATTTATTAAACAATGAAATCATTGGATTCATTCTCCAAGCAACTTGCGTTGGGTTCCTTCCACAAGGATGGTACATCCATACACAGACGCTCTGCCATAGATGGTGGGAGCAGTCAAAGCAGAGAAAGATATCAGCAGAGAAAGACATCAGCTTCCCCCACCTCCATGACTCACTTCACAGCCAACCCAAGCCACACTCCTGCCCAGTGACACCCTGATGACACCATGTTTTCCCAGACCTACAGCAGCGGGAAGCTTAGTCCTAGAATCAGACTTCATCTCTAGTTCCAACTCTGCCACCTCCTCGCCGTTTGACCTTGGGCAGATTACTTAACCCCAGTGACAGTATTCTCAGATGAAGATCTGAGATAAGCTGCTCTGAGAATTAAATGAGAGAACAAATCTGACTAGCGCCTGGCACACAGGAGGCGCTTAGTAAATGGCTATGACTGTAACTATTACTAGAATTGTGCTTAGTACCATTGTTTTTGCCATTGGTGTTGGTGTTGATCTCCCCAGGGTGACTTCAAGAGAGCTGAGCCATCAGAAGCATCTTTCAGGGCAACACTGGCTTTATTACTGTCTCTAAGTCACCAGGGCATAAAGCAAAACTCTTGTCATTTTCCTCCAGATCCACAATGCAGGTGACATGATGCAGGAAGCGCCTGCCTTGCTGACTGGCTGATAGGGAGGAATGATGGACAGGGCTGCTGCAGTGCACAGTTCCAGGGGCTGCTATGCATGGCACAGTCCACATGAAAGGTGCCCTTGGAGGATAGAGGCAGGGCCTGAACAGCTTCTACAGGCTGCTATGGGGACCCCCAGTTTGATGTCCTTCCTGGGCACTCCAAGGCAACCAGCTGCAGGTGGCAGCACAGCAGGGTATCCTCTTTAAAGACAGGGTTGCACTTGAAGGCCTGCTTGTGGCCTGTTCATGGCCCCTTACAGCTAATGCCCAACCCAGTATGGACCCAGAGCCAAAAACCTAAGTCAAAGAGGGGCCAAAAGAAAAATCCATCAGGGAGGGAACAGCCCCAGGATCCCCTGAGTGGAGTGGCAGAAAGACCAATTTTCTCATATACTCGTTCTCTTAAAATCACTAGGGAAAACTCATGAACACATTCCTCCCAGAGTATTTCCTCTCTAGGCCCCCAAACGCTGGGCAGTATCCACTTTATCCCTCGTTTCCTCAGCCTGTCTCTCCCTCGGGGCTCCCTCAACCTCCACGGTGATGACATTCCTCTCTAAAGGCTGGGGACCAGGCTCCCCATCTTCAGGAGCCTGCTTGCTGAGGGCAGGGGAACGAGAACCTAGAGAAGGGTAAGCTCCAGTACCGTTTGGAGAAGGCCCTGGAGGAAGAAGGCAGGAGCACACAGCTGCGGAGCATCGGGCCCAGCGGAGGCAGAAGGAAGAGACAGGCAGAGACAGTGGTTAGAGGTATGTCCAGGCAGCTTCCTCAGCACGAGGTCACCGCATGCATCCCAAGGCCATCTCTGTCCACCGTGCTGTCCTCAGGGGTCCCAGGACATGCTTCTTCCCTGCCATTTCCTGCCACCTCCCAGGGTTGCCTGCCTCTGTGGCTCCCCCTATGACCATGCATCCAAATGCTCCTCCCCAATTTTTCACACTGTCTCCTGGATCTTCTCCTTCCCAATTTAAAGACATCCCCATCTCCCAAATCCACCCGCGCCCTCCTCTCTGTGACCCCTCTCTGCAGGTTCCCTCCTCTCCTCTCTCTAATCCTGTCTCCTCCTTCATGTCCACACCACCAGCTGCCCAGTGCACCCTACTTCTGCCCTCAGCACCCCTCCCCAGAAATTTGTCTCCAAAGTCCCCTACCCGAAGGACACTCATGGGCTCTTCTCTCTCTCGCCCCCTCAGCAGCAACTGGCCAGCTGACCTCGCCTTCTTCCCAAACTGTCTCTCTGGATCCACACTGCTGGCCCCCACCCTGTTTGCTGAGCCTCCTCCGCAGCCTCCCCATCTTCCTCCACCAAGCCCTGATCTGCTCCTTAGCCCTCTCCTGGACTTTCTGCTCCCAAACATCTCTGCTAAGCCCCAATATCTTACTGCTTAGTTCATTCATGTGTCCTACTGGCCTCTCACACTGAACTTGTCCAAAACTGGATTCTTTATCTTCCCCCTCAGAACCTGCACACTTCAAGTCTGACCCCACCATCCACCTAGACAACCAAGCCAAAAGCCCCCATGCCATCCTTGGCTCCTCCTGCCCCTCATCGCCCTGCCTGACTGATCACCAAACACTGGTGAGCCTGTCTCCTGAACATCTCTCAGGCCTGCCCACCCATCTCCTTGGCTCAGTGCAAGCCACCGCCCTCTCTCACCTGGACTCACCAGCACCCCCCTTTCACTCGGTTCTGACACCCTCTCCCGAAAGCCCACGCGCGCTGCAATCTGCAGCCAGGGCAGGCTTTCTAATAACGTCACTCTCTGCTTCAAGTCCTCCAATGTCTTCCCACCGGCTCAGGATGAAGTGCAGACTCTTCAAAGTAGCCTCCACAAGACCCCTAATCTTCCAGCTCCTGCTGCCTTCTCTGGGCATGTTTCTCCTCGGATAAATTTCCCCTTGATGACCCCAAGTAGTGATGAACCACCTCCTGGGATACACGCAACCCCTGCCCTTCTGAATGCTAGCAGGTTGCAGGAGACACCATGCTCTTTTAGCTTTGAGGCTTGGAGCTCAGTGGTCCCTCTGTCTGAAATGCACTTCTACCCCAACTCCTTCTGTACTTCCTATTCGGACTGCAGGTGTCTATTTAAATATTCCCTGGTGCCCCAAGCTTAAGTACCCCCGTAGCTCCCATAGCAACTTACACTTATTCTCATAGAAAGACACATCAATCCATCACCCCGTGCCATCTCCACGTGTTCATTTGATTGTGTCCTTGGTTAAACCAGCAATTCTGTACACAGGGACCATAGCTGAATTCCCCCGTCCAATAAATAAATGATTATGAATGGATAACTGAAGGGGAAGAGGGAGGGTGAAGACAGAAGAGTGGGTGGATGGGAAGATAAAGGAATGAATCCAGCACACACTCTCCTCCTTCCTAGCACCCGTGGCTGCTCCAGCCTGACCCTGGGTCCTCCCCAGGCCTGCTCATTACTCCCTCTGGGTCAATTTTCTTTACTGCCACCTGAATCTAACCCATTTTTAGGGCCTAATTCAAGATCTCTAGAACAACTCTCCAAGACGCTCCAGAAATGCCTTATAACCTGACTCTGACTCTCTTAACCCCATCTACGTGACCCTTTCCCCACATAGCCCATTCCCAGGGTCCTAAGGGGTCTCTGATCAACTCACAGGCAGGAGTCCTGAGGCCTCTGCCAGCTCTTGAGCCTGGTTTTCAACTTTTTTTCTGGTCCAGTCCACTTGAGGGGTACAGCACCCCCACCTCCAGGACAGTAATTCTCAGTGAGGTGCTGTGACCCTCATTGCAACTGGGAAGCCTCTCAGCACTGCTGGGCAGACAGGGTGTGGACTGAAAGTGCCACCAGAACATCCTGATTCACCGTCCTATGGCTGATGGGGGACTCTGATAAGCCTAACTAGAGGAAGCCACATTGGACCAGCTCCCGACTTGCTCCCCTCAAATGCAGGGACAACCAGGGGCGGCTGCAGGGATGGGTTCTACAGGTGTGCAAGGTGTTGATCAAGCCAGCCCAGACTAAGAGGACCCCAGGAACAAGTGAAGCTCTCTCCCCTACCAGAGCTGAAGCCATCCTTAAGCCCACTTCAGTCTATCTGTCCCGCTGGCCAGTTTAGCACAAAGAACCAAGGCCCTGAGCCATGAAAGGGGCTCCCCTAGCCCCATCTAGGGGCCACCACATTAGACAGGAGTCGCTCCCAGGACAAGGGAAGTGGTGGCAAGCCTCCTGGGTCAGCCCAGTCACCAGTAGCCTATGGACTCTCACCTCACCCAGGAGGGGACAGAAGACTCTGCAGTCACATCCTGGTTCCTCCGGGAGCTCCAGGCAGGGGGCAGCCAGGCAGGCTGGGAGGGCTCCATTGTCTGCCTGCCCCACCCAGCTCGTTAGGAACAACATGTTGCTCTAATTACACTTCCCAGGAAAAACAGTGTTTTAAATTAAGGCCTTGGGGGAGGTATGGGGGATGGGGGACCACTGGCTTTATTTTCCTGATTGCAAAACACGAAATTTTTCCTTCCAGTGGATTTGGGGGTACAGGAGAGTACCCCAGGTACATCTCAGAGTAAAAGCCATATATACCCTGCAGCCTGGATGGGTGGATGGAGTGGCATCCGGTGGCCCCCACCCCTGAGCTGGCAGTAAAATCAGCCACGAAGCATACAATCCCTCCCACCAGGGCATCCCCTGCGCCAGCAGGAGAGAAGCAGCAGAAGCAAGGGTAATACTCTAAACCACGCCCCCTCCCCTCCCCACCTCCCCAGAATGGTCAGGACCGCAAGCCCCATGGGTCTTCCTCTACACATGTTCTGTATCCTAGGGGGCCCTGGGCATTCGGGGGCCCGCCATCACCTCTGCTGCTGTGTGTGCGTGCATGTGTGCGCCCTCGAGAGTGTACACAACTCGCACACGCTCACACGTGCGTGCACACATTCTCCAGTTCTCAGGAAATCTAAAATTGCAGTTTCTTTGAACTCATTCCCCTTGGCAGCATGGACTGCCTTTGTTCTCCAGACAAAAAGGAAAAGAAACGAGACAGAGGGCTCAGAAGAGGCGGGGAGAAGGAGGAAGCTGGGGCCAAGGAGCAAACAGGAAGAGTGAAACACGAAAGGAGAGTGGGAAGAGACTCAGGAAGAGAAGGAAAGACAAAGAAAATGCAGACCGGGGAACGCAAAGGAAACCCTTCCCTCCATCCGTTCCCTCTGCGAGGACTCAGATCTCCCGGACATCATCAAAGCCTCAGACACACCATGCAACAGCCTCACTTCCTGACCAAGAGCCACAGAGAGGGGCGTCCCAGGTGGGCATAAAGCCTGGGAGAGGGGAAGTTTGTTGTCCACCAAGCCGCATCCAGGAGGTGACACGCCCTCAGCCCAAGACACTGCTGCCTGGGCCACCTCCCCACATTTTCTACCAATCCCAGCTTCAAAAGCTAGCTCAGTGGCACCTCTTCCGGGAAGCTATCCTCACTGTCCTGCTCTGGGAACCTTCGACAGGGGCAGACAGCATTTCATCTCATTCACAGGCACTGTGGCTTGGGAATCTCCGCACCCGGCTGCGCTAGCTGAAAGGCACTTCCCACAAGAGAGGATAGCCTTAAACCATCCTTCAGAGTCACTTGCCCCATCCGTTCCTACTGGTCTGTCTCCAGTCCAGGCCCCTATCTCAACTGACTCAAGAGCCTCCTAGCCAGTCTCTCACACCCACACCCCTGCAGCCAGACAGCTCCCCAACACACCCATCCTTCCCTCACTGCCCCCTGACTCTCATGGGCTCCCGTGGCCAGGGGCTCAGGAGGAGGCTCCCAGCCCTCCAGGAAGGCTTGAGCACTCTTCACGAGGATCGGGCCGGGAGCCTGGGAGCGGCCAGGTGGGAGATACAAGGCAGGAGCTTGGTCACAGCAAAGAAGACAGAAAAACCCTGCTGGGGTCCTGCCTCCAGCAGAACCAGCGGCAACAGAAGGACCACCCGGCCCCGGGGCTTCTTAAAGTGAAGAGGACTCAGCATCTTGGCATCAGGCTTAGCCTTCAAGTGAGAAGGACATGGGCTGAGCTAGGGGTCCCAGGGCTGTTCCCTGGGGCTGAGGGAGGCCACAAGGTCATCTTCTGGGGCTGGTCCCTGGACCAGCAGATCATTCATCCCACTGGGATAGGTCCTCCTCAGACCCTTTGAACCTGCTGGCCTGGCCCAGCCCTGTGCCTAGCACACTCCTAGGACTCGCTCTCCCCTGGCCCTGCTGACCCACACCCGCCCTCAGCCTGCCGCCTGGTTGGCCCTGCAAGGGGACACTTGGCGCTCTTTGGGCTCTGGCCCACGAGCTGCAGTTTTGATTTGCTTTCTGACGAGACTGCAGCCAGATCCCTGCCCTCGGAATCTGAGCCTTCACTGTTATATATTACGAATCCAGTTATTAAGGATTTTAACTTTTTTTTAATAACTCATCCCTGGGCTGGGTCTTCTTCAGAGCAGGCTGTGGGTTTTGGCCACAAAGTGCACTCAATCAAGAGAGAGGGCTCCGTGCTGCTTCCCTGGACAGGACTCCACCTCCCTTTCCAAATCGGCAGTCTTTCGCAACTGCAGCCAGAAGCAGGAGGCCGCCTGTCAGGCACAATTACAGCAAGCTCACTTGGCGGACCCCACCTCGGTCTGGGAGCAAAAGGAAGTGAGGTAAGGGGTGCGGGGCCTGTGGATCCCACATCCTGACTCTGCACTTCAAGTCCAAATTGCACTGAAAATGTCAAATAGTGTCCGCTCTCAGTCTGGGGATTCCCTAACGGCAGGAAGTGGCTGCCCTTTTCCCAATGCCTCATCTGACCAGGGCTCTCCTTCCTGTCTCTCCGCCCAGGTCTCTGTCACCCACCCTCTGGCCTGGCTCACGACAGTCCACCCACAGATGCACAGGAGGCCATAGGGAACGTGCTTCTCGCCTCCCATGGCAAAAGATGCAGTCTTGCTTTATCTAAATGCAAACTCTAAACTTTTTCCAGTCCCTAGGAGGTCTCCAGCTCACCCCATCCCCCAAACCAGCCAGGACCCAAACTGGTCCTTGGCCTTTTAAGCCAAAGCCATGTTTCTCACTTTCTTTCTAAGTGCTGATGGGCATAAAGACATTTGGCTAATGCCGCCTCTGCCAGAAAGCCTTCCTTGACTACTCTGGCCCCTTCCAAACAATTTATTCTTCAAAATGTGCCACCTGGTACTTAATCATTTAAGACTCTGTATTGCTGTTCCTGTTGTCTGGGTGAAATCTGGCCTCCCAGCAGGATAGCAAGCCTTCTCAGACCAGGATCACTCCCAGGACACACTCTGGGTGGCCCTGAATCCACACAGAGCATGGGGAATAAAATCCAGACAGGTCTCCATGTGACAGGTGCCTACTGGGCACCAGGAACCTGGAGGGCTCCAGGTGTGTGCTTGGAGGCTGGCTTCACCTTCCCTCCACCTCGGCCCACCCACCCCAGCCACCAGACCCAGCTCACCTCATCCAGGATCCTCGATGTCTCCTGCACCTGGCCCACAGCCATGGGATGTGGCACATCCAGGAGATGGTGATGGGGGGTGGGAGGGGAAAAAGTTCTCCATTAGTATCAAGGAGCACTAGGCGGGGCCAGAGGTCAGCACACAGATGCCAGCACTAAGAAGAGCCAATAGAAACCACCTCCCACCAAGGTTAAGAATGATGTACTTCCCAGGCACGTCCCCAACATGGTCCCTGAGAAAGAAGGTGTGATGGATGTCAATGCAGAGGGAGGCTAGGAAAGGCTAAAGCATAAGCCTGGATGCCAGGAATCTCTGGAAGCAACAAGAGGAAAGAGAAGAACAGCAGGTGGTGGGAAGGGCCTGGGAGCCTGCGGCCTTGGCAAGCTGAGAAGAACCAACCTAGAAGTCCCAGGAGCAGGCAGCACTGAGAGCAGGAGCTTAGGACAGGGAGGGAGACCTGGAGGGGCAGGGCTGGTGAAGGAGGGCCTGCATGCAGGGAGGGCCTCCCAAGAACTCTGTAAAATGTGTGTGGGCTGCCTTGTGAAGGACAATGGAGGTGTCCCAACACAGCCCAGATGACTACTTCTCATAGATGCAGCTAAACGTGGCATGGAATCAGGTAATCAATCCAATGCACCTGGGTACCAGTCAAAGCTTGACATTTTCTACCAAGACCCCCAGAAGAAGGAAGGAGAGCAGCGGTAAGGGAATGAAGCCTCCGTCACAGGAAGAGGAAAGAAAATGGGGTCTTGGTAAGAACAACTCAGTGGGAAATGTGGTCTGAATCAGAGCTTCTGAAACTCATGCATATGTGAGAGGGCCCTGGAGGGCAAGCTGATACAAAGATTGCTGGGCTGCTCCCTCAGAATTGCTTCAGTGGGCTTGAAGTAGGACTCAAGAACTGGCCACACTTTCAGAACCCTGGGGCTAAGTCAGTGATTCTTAGCCCTGGATGTGCATTAAGATTCCCTGGGCAGTGCTGTCCCGGGGGTCCTAATGCTCAGCCAGCTGAAAGCCACAGGGCTGGACAATTATGAGGATCCTTCCATCTGGAATGCTGTGGTTCTTGGACTTCTCAGAGAAGAAGGGCAGGAAAGACCTGAGCTGGGCAGAGAGATTGTGAGCTTCCTCCAGCCCACACCCTCCTCTGCTTGAAAGAGCTTCCCCAGGGGCTTGAGGCAGGATCGTGGTAATGCCTGACCGCCCTTCCTAACCCAGAGAGATGCCAAACACAGGGAGACTGGCAATCAGTTTGAAGAAGGAAAGGTCAGAGCAAGACTTACCTCAAAACCAGGAATATGGTGGATGGCCGGCTGGAGTGAAGAAAAGAGAGCTCTGGTCATGTGCTTGTCACCCAAGGCCCCCATCACCCTCATGACACTCACAGACTATGTCAGTGATCAGACTGTCCATGGTTTGCAGCCTCTATTCCTTGGGGGTGGAAGGGATGCTAGGTTGGCATTGTGCCCATCCCTTCCAGACACTTCACCCAGAGCAGCCCTACTTTTATTTGGTCTACATATTGGGGTTCACATCATACTAAGAGGAAGTTTGAAGGTACAGCTCCAACCCAAACCTCTCATTTTACAGAGGGGAGTGGCTGGCCCAGGGCCATGAGGCTAGGTCATGGTGAAGCCAGCACTGCAATGGGGATCCTGCCCTTGCCTGTTCCTGGAGTCCCTCGCATTGTGGCAATTAAGGCTCCCTTAATCAGACAACAGAGGTCCTCCTCCCAGAAACCATGTCAGGATACGATCCAAGGAAGATTAAATCCAGTGACCAGAGGACTTGGACACTCCTGATCCCCAACATTCTACTCCAATGTTAGATGGTATCCTGACTCGGGGTTCAGAAAATGGGTCTCAGCAGGAGGCCTGGCTTCAGAGGAGGTGTTCCAGGCTCCCACAGAGGGTTGGCCCCCACCCCACCCCTGCCATGCACCTCCTGCCTCAGCCTCCTGGATCTGGATACAGACCAGCCTCACCTTCTCTCTCTGGATGAGCTCAAAAGAGGCCAGCAGCTCCCCCGTCGGCTGGCTGCCCCTGGTCAGTGGGAACCAGGCCAGTCGGGGCGTCCGTTCCAAACTCGGCTGACAGATGCAGCGGCCCATAAACTCGTCTGCGCCCTAGACCAAGCATAGAGAGACAAGAATCAGCATCCCTTACCCAGGGCTCTGGGGAGCCTCAGAGAGATCAGGTCTACATGTGCCTTCTGAACTAGCAGGGGCCTCAGTGAGGGCACCCCCTCCCACAGAATGGTGAATTCTGCTCTCCTTAGCAGGACTCAACAACAAGACAAGATGTGAGCAGCCTCGTGACTGTCACTAGGTTTGAATTCCCATCATGCTCGAGAAGTCCCTCTGGACTAGTGTCCAACTAGTGTTTGCCCTGCTGTAATTTAATCAGCGCTGAGACTACTGGAGACCAGAGAGACAGCCTCCTGGCATTTCTCTAATGCCCTCAGCAGTACAGGTGTTTGCAGTTCCAGGGACGTCTGTATCTCCTGCTCATTTCACCCTTAAATTCCCCCACTTTGCAAATGGGGAAACTGTGATCACATTCATCAAATTAAATAAGCCTGGACAAAATGATGTTTTCATAAAGGAAGGTGCCTTTTCTTCAGGCACCTTCCTTGACTCCCTGCTGCCCGGAAGACAGATCCGTCACACTGGATGCAAGGGCAAGCCCCCTCAGGGCTCTGGCAGCCTTCAGCTCGTACCGCCACCCTCCTGCCCTGTTCTGCACTTGCACTCAGTCCTGCTGAGTCCCCCTGACCAGTGCCAGCCCAGCCGCCTGCCTCCCTCCTGCTCCAAAGGTGCCAGGGCCTGTGCCCTTCTCCAAACAGTCCCACATGGACTCTTCCTCCGGTTGCTCCTTCCCCCCTGCATGGTACCAGCTTTTCCTTCCAAGCACCCCAATGTTGGACCCCCCAGCCCAGGCCTGCCTTACCCATGGCCAGCTGTCCCCATCATCTGGTGAGGAATAGAGACAGAAGCACCTTTCCCCACCCCCGCCCACCACACCCACCCAGGGAACCTGACATCTGGTCAGTGCAACTCTTACTGACAATGTCTTCCAAACCCATCCCCTCCCCTTTTATCCCACCGCCACCTCCAGCTTTGCCGTGCGCCCAGCTGGTCTCTTCCAGCAGCATCCAGCCTCCTCTTCGGAAACTGCTGCCCTGACGTCATCACTCTCCTGCTCCCCTGGATTCATACTCCATTCTCCTCCTTCCAGGCCTCTGCCTCGCGCCGACACCCCAACCCCACATTTCCTCCAGGGCCCGGGTCTTTCCCAAAGGCTTTCCTGACATTCCAGCCCATAGCACTCTCTCCCTCCTGGGAGCCTCCTAGAGCTGCTCTGTCCAATACAGGAGCACCAGCCACCTGCAGCTATTTAAATTTTAATTTTACTTCGCTAAAATGAAATAAAATTTACAATTTCATTTCTCAGCTGCACCAGTCCCATTTCCAGTGCTGTGCAGCCTCATGCAGCTAGAGGCTCCCTTTTCGGACAGCACAGCCCTACAGCTCGCCTGTCACCACAGGAGGTCCTGTGGGACAGTTGTGGTAAGAGGCCCTGCCTGTGGCACAGAGCTGGGAGGCACTCGGGGACCCGTGCTCTCACATGGAGGATTCTCCACTGTGTGGGTGTCTTGGCTCCCACCTAAACAGGGAACCCCAAGTGAAGGGCCACTCAGCCAGTAATGCAAGTGCTCGATGTACATTTAAGGATTCCACACCGCTCCTCGATGAGAAGAAGGAACTGGCCTGAGATCACACAGGCAAGGCAGAGGCAGAGAAAACCCAAGCCCCTGGCCCACAACCAAGCACCTTTTCCGGATATGTTCCCTTTCACTGATGAGCAGTGTCTGCTGTGGGAACGGCATCTGTGCTAGCAATCCATTTTTAATGACTCTAAAATAGTCTTAATTGCTCTAGGGCCTGCGGAGTTAGGGGAGCACCCATCTGGCTGGGCAGCCACGAGTTCCTGGAGACCCCACCTTTGCACATGGTCCCTCCCTGTGAGGGGACGAGGCAGGAGCCGGGCAGACTCACGTAAGTGTCATGGTCGTACAGCTCCACCACAATGCTGGGCGGCTGCTCAGCAACTGTGGCCGGCTCGCCGAAGATCTCGATCTCGTAGAAGATGAGCGTCTGGTCCCAGGTGGGGTTAAGGGTGTTCTTCACCACCACCGTCTTCTGGCTCTGGTGCAGGAAGGAGACGATGGCATAGGGATCTGCACAGGCCGGAGATGGGGAGGGGAGACAGGACACAGCAGGGGCCATGAGAGATGTCTGCTTCAGAGCCATGTGGGACCACAAAGCTGGAGCAGGGCTGTGGCTGCCACTCTGGAGCAACAGCATTCATGCTGGGATGCATCTTCCCTATGGGGTTCTTCTAGCCCTGCCATGAGGCCAGCTGGGGGCCACAGTAGGGACATGGAGCCTGGGTCCTGGCAAATGGGCACAAGATCCAGAGAACATCCCTTTTTGTGCTGCTTCCTGAGCTGGCTGCTGGAAGCAGGGTCCAGCTGGGGGAAGTGAATGTCTGTATGGTCTGTTCGTTCATTCATTCATTCATTCATCCAACAAGCATTTATCGAGTGCCTTCTTTATGCCAGGCTAGGGGCTAGGTGCTAGGGGCTGAGAATACAATTTGAACTAAATATAAAATATCCACACAAGCTAATGTAAAATTATGATTTGGGTCAGAGCCTTGAAGAATAGACATAAAATGCAGTGAAATGTGTTAGGGAGGGATCTGGCTTCCTTGAGGAAGGGGGAGCAGAGCAGAGCTGCTGGTGTCTGTGAGCTCTGGGATGCCACCACACTGACGTGGCCAGTTCTGCATTTCAGCAAGCTCACTCTGGCTGCCACATGGAGAACAGACTGCAGGGAGCACGAGGAGGTCTAGGGAGACCAGTTCTGAGGCCACTGCAGTGGTCCAGGGAGGAACGATGGTGGCTTAGATGGGTGTGGGGTGCTAAAGGGAAGTGCACAGACTCAGCAGCTATTTAGCAGTAGGGGTGTGACAGAAACCCAAAGGCCCCCGCAGCTCCCTGCTGCCCGCGAACTCCTTTCCAGCCTGCCAGCCTTGGCCACGCCAGCCTGGGACCCAGCCACAAGTCATTCCCTCTACCTTGTCCCAAAGGCTCACTAGAGCAGACTCTAGGGTCAGTGGTTCTCAAATGTGAGCATGCTGCAGAATCATCTGGAAGGCTCATTCACGGTGCTGGGCCCTGCCCCCAGAGACTCGGATTCAGCAGGGCCAGGGTGGGCCTGAGAATTACATTTCTAACAAGTTCCTGAAAGCGATGCTCATGCTGTCTTCTGGGACCACATTTTGGAAACCAATGCAGGAGAGGGACTGAGTGCATATAACTTGGGAGAGGAATGCAGGGCTTGGAGGAGGGGGCTCCCTTCAGCTCCTCCTAATGGGATGTCACCTTGAGGGCTGAACCCAGTGCCTAACCATGCACTCAATACCCTTGGCACCCTGCTCCATCCTGCAATGGCCTGTGCCCTCTGAGCCCTGCAGTCCAGCCCTAGCACTGCCATTCACTTCCCATGTGACCTCAAGAGGGCCTCAGTGGCCTCAGAGGTAATGGCCTCTGTGTTGCTGGCCTCAGAAGGATGCAGGTTCAAACACAACCCAGGGGCTGGGATGGGGAGACAGGGCTTCCACACAAAGGGGAGAAGAGCAAGACAGGCTCCCTGGCCACAAGAAGACCAAATGGGACACCATGGCCACTGCATAGATGGCAGAGAGAGGGGTGGCAAGGAGTGACCGGGAAAGAGGCGGGAAGGTTGGAGTGGGCAATGGCAGGAAACCCATCAAGGGATGGAGAGACCAGGGTCCAAGGTTGTGCCTGTTGCCAAAAAAAGAGCTGGTTTTAAGAGCAGGGGGTATCTAAGTTAAGGGGCGGACTCAGCCACGGCCACCCACAGGCTGAGCAATGCTGGGTCTGGTTAATAGGAGGCAGCCACCAGCCTGGGATCAGCCTGACAGCCATCAGGCACAAATCATGGAGGACTTCCTGCAGGAAAATGGTTTTGATCCTGATTCTGTGGAGCAGAAGGGGGCAATGGGAGGCCCTTGGCAGGCGAAGGAGCCAGAGAGAACTGCCCACCACGTCTCTCGACCCCCACCAGGTGGGAGCCTCCCTGGCATGGGGCTCCCCTTTCCATGCACTGGACCTGGCAGGGCTGGCCCTGAGCCCTTTCCCTCCTGCCCCTGGCAGGGCCCAGCGGCATCTGTGTATTTAATGAAACCGTCTGGCTGTGATACCATCAGCTCCAAGCTCGGCAGAGAACTTCTCCAGGTTCCAGTAAGGAAAGGAGGGCGCGTTCCGATAAATAAAACCATATTAGAGAGCCAGCGAAAAAGCCCCTTTTGTTCCCGCCCCGCCCCGTGCTTCCCTATGCTTTATTTTTATAAGCGTGCGGGCCCCAGACCGACCGCGTTTACACAAAGATCACAATTGCACATTGTAGCGGCTGTGCACGCTGTATTGGTGTTGGCAGCACCCCCCACGCTGGCCCCCGAGCAGGCTGACTCCTTCCAGCAGCCCCATCGGCCCAGGCAATGAGCTCAGCGCTCGGGGGAGAACGGGGAGGGGGTGGCTTTCAAACAAAAATCACCCAGACCTACACACGTGCCCCACCCGCCCATGGGAGGAAAAAACACACAACAAAGGCATTGTAAAGAGCAGGCCTGGAGGCCTGGGGCCTCAGACACTGGGCTACTGTGTACAGGAGCCTGGCCTCTCCCTGCACAGGACCCCATCCCTCAAAAAAAAAGAAAAAGGAAAAAGGGGAATAGGGGTGTTGCTAGAGCAAGGTGGTCAGATGAAGGACAGCCAGACACACTCACAGACAAATCCCTCTTCCAGGAAAGCTAAGAGGAGGGAGAGGCAGATTCCCAAAAAGCGGTGGAGGGGAAGGTGAGGGGCTGGGTTTTGCGCGTGCATCACAGCGTAGGGCTCTCCCCAGGGCCACGCCCACAAGCCATATGCAGCGCGCAGCATGCCCTCGCTGAGGCAAGCACTTTGGATTGCAGCTCTGAGGAGCACGGCTGCCCCAGGGAGGATCCAGCCATGAGCACACAAGGATTCTACCTGACTCCATCACCACAAGGGAGTCAGGGACCTGTCACCGGGCCCCAGGCAGACAATTCCTTGGCTGGATCCAGAGCCCTACACCAGGCTGTTCGGGCTGAGCCCTGCTGCTCAGACGTTCCTGGATCTCCGGAGAGGACCGTCTGCATTCACAATACACTACGCTTTCCTCCCGGGCCTTCCTACCAACCACTCAGACCATCAGGGTCGGGGACAAAGTGGGAAGTATCACCCCATTTTTCAGAAAAGGGAGCTTTCCCCAGGAAGACTAAGTCGCTCAGCCATGATCCTATGTACTAGACCCCCTGACTCCTAGTCCAGTGCTCCTTCCACCACGCCACCTCATAGGAAAGGGCCCTTCAGAGAGGGTGGGATCGACTGCCAATAACCAAGGCAATGCAAATGAGAACTAGACTCCAGCAATATTTTTCCTATAAAATTAAGAAAAATTGTTCAAAATTATAAAAACCCGGTATGGGCAAAGAGTCGATGAAATAGGTACTCTCCTTTATTGCTGGAAGCAATTCAGCAAGCCTTCAGAAAAGCAATTGGGCACTATGCCCTGAAAAACATAAAACCATTTATACCCTTTTCCCATATTCCTGGGAGGCATCCAGATTCACCAGAAAGCTAGATGTATGTACAAAGATGTTCACTCTCACGTTATTTGTAATGCATCATTCATTCACTATACAGTTATTGATTGGCTACTCTGTGGGAGGTTAGCACAGTGCTAGGGATAGGAAGATGAATGAGACGTAATCCAAGCTCTTAAGAGTATGACTACTGGTTGGAAATTGTAACCTAAACGGGTATAATACAAGGTGATGTGCTACTTAATAGTGGAGTATACAGGGGCCGGGATGAGGAGCGCCTGATGTCACCTGCTGGCATCAAGTCAGGCTTCCCAAAGCAGGTCTCAAGGATGAGGAGGTAGGCCGTGCAGACCAAGGAAAAGGGGGCATTCCAGGCGCAAGCATGGCACGGGTAAACACACCAAAGACTTTAGGTACTTGGGGAGCAGCAAGCCATTGGTCTGGCTGAGGGGACGAAGGGAGCACCGGGGCAGTGGGGACAGAGGAGGCAGGAGGGGAGGAGGGGTAGATCACAAACGGTCCTGGATTCCTGCTGAGCAATTTGGACTGAATCCTGTAGATCAGTGTTTCCCAAAATGTGTTCTTTGAGTGGTGGGTTCTCTGGGGAGCTAATGAGTGCTTAAACAGATTAAACAGGCTCCTTCCCTGCCGCCGCCTTAGAGCCTCTCATATGCCACTGTGCATTGTAAATCTCGAAGCGTGCAGTGTTTCCCAGTCTCTCTTACTCAGGAACCCTTTTTAAGTGGAGCATTTCACAAGCCTCCAATGCACTTTGGAAAACACCTCCTTAAGCTCGTCTGGTGGATTGCCCCAGCCAGAGCCAACCCTAACAAAAAGCTGTGCTTAAAAAGGGGTTGGGAAGGGAGACTGGAGTTCAGACTTGGGAAACCCAAAAGCAAGAAATCCCCAGCACCACCCAGGACTGAGTCTGAATCTGAGGGAAATTAAGGCACCGGTCATCAAGACGTGGCCCCAGCTGTGGGCAGCTCTGGCTCATCAGACCTCACTGCAGCCTGGCCTGGCAGGACTATCCCACAGGACCACCTACCTGGCCCACCGCTGTGACCTTACCTGGAGCTGTAAGGCCAGCAAAGAGGGCACAGGACTTTCTACTTTCTTGAGAGGTACTCACCCCTGTAAATTAATAAATGATGTGGCATCTGGTCTATCAGCCATCTCTCATTGGCTTGGTTAGCCAAGTTGAAGCCCCTGAGCCGTGACGTGGGAGGCCCTCACAGAGGGATTTCTGGGCCCCTCCTAAGCTGAGGGTCATCCCTTGGAATACAGTGACCTCATGATAGAGCTGCATGAGGGTCCTCCATCTGGGCGGGCTGCTCTGTAAGCAGAGCTTATGATCCCTCCAACCACAACAGCAGTTCTTAACTGGCAGAAGGGGCCAGACTGACACCTTCCTCCCTGGTTCCCTGTGAGAAACACCAGTCTACAATGAAGAGTAACTCAGCTCAAGCTACTGTTCAGGGAAGCAATGCTACCCACCCCACACCAAAGGGGTGGGCAGGACGGAGCTAGGTGTGGTGTTGGTGACGTGTTCTAAGTCCTCTAAAGTCATAGCTTTTCATTTCAAAGCAAACCCAGTACACACAACAGATGTTCACAAAGCAGTGGCAACCCCGTCCCAAAAACAAAAAGAAGTCATTGAACTGGCCGGGCACAGTGGCTCACGCCTGTAATCCCAGCACTCTGGGAGGCCAAGGCGGGTGAATCGTCTGAGGTCAGGAGTTCAAGACCAGCCTGGCCAACACGGGGAAATCCCGTCTCTACTAATGCAAAAAATTAGCCAGGCATGGTGGCGGGTGCCTGTAATGCCAGCTACTTGGAAGGCTGAGGCAGAAGAATCGCTTGAACCTGGGAGGCAGAGGTTGCAGTGAGCCAAGATAGCGCCATTGCACTCCAACCTGGGTAACAAGAGTAAAACTCTAGCTCAAAAAAGAGAAGAAGTCACTGAATTAAGTATCACTTTATGTTTTTTATGACTAATTGCTGCACAGGGAATACACATTAATAAACACATAAGCACACGCCACAGATGCCCTTCCACTGGTCCAGAAAATTGATATCCCAGCCATACACTCAAACCCCACTCAAGTTGCAACCCTCAGGCCATCTGGATGGCAATATCTCCAGGATAGCCTCCCTCTCCCAAGTTCAATATTGTTCAACAAGTGTTTTCTGGGCAACCCCTGCCTATCTCCTCAAATATTCAACCAGGGAGAAGGAGCGGCCATGGTCCCAATGTCCGGGCAGCCCCAAGACCCACCATGTAGAGAGAAGCAAAGAGCACAGCACAGGGCTGTAGGAGCCCCAGGGGAAAGGCCCAGAGAGCAACAGGTCAGAGGCACTGGGAGAGTGGCTCGAGAAGGGCCCTCTCTGCCCCAGACACCCGGCAGGCAGCTGGAAGCTGCATCGGCGACAGACACTGTGCCAGGCCCTCCCCTGGCCCCAGACATTCCGGATTCACACATAAGTTTCCTCAGAGAAATGCCAGCCGGTGGCCGAGCACAGCCTCCGGCCGCCAGCCGCCCCAGGGTCAGTTCCAGGGGAGAAATTGCTTTGGTTTAGGGTTTGGGAGTGAAAATAAACACTCTGGGTTTTATAGGTTCACCCATGTTGGCTGCTGTTTTCCTTTCCAGCAGCTGCTCAATCGGGCCTTTCATTCAGAAGCCAGTGGCCTCTGAGGAAGCCCTGGGCAGTGCCCTCAAAGCTCAAGGGATGTTTATTTGGGGGAGGGGGTGGGGCCAGGATGGAAAGTGTGACGTCTCCGCAGACCGGTGCCACTGCCCTACCAGAGGGGAGCATCGGCTCCCAGCGCTGGGCCCTTGAAGGAGTTCCCTCCCCTCTCTGCGGGGTCCTCGGCCTGCAGGGCCCACAGAGGACAAGGGGGCTTCTGCCTGGGCCCCACCTGGCCACCCCCCTCTCACAAACCCGTTCCCAGCACCCTCACCTCTCACGCCCTCCCGGGAAGGGAGAGAAAGCAAGGCTATAAACTCGTCCATGTCCTTTTTCTCAGAGTAAGTTCTAATTGTCAGACTCCTGGACAAGTTTCCCAGGAAGTAGCCACTGCAGATTCCTGTCTGGCCTGGGCCTGTCAATTCTGGCGGGCTGCTGCTGTACATACTTTCGAGGGAGCTCTCAGGACCCTGGCCCCAAAGCAAAACAGGGTAGAACTTTCTCATTCACCCTGCACCTGGCTGCACAGAGCTGGAGGATGGGCCACTGAGGGCCATAGCTGCTGGAGAGGAGGACGCAGATTGGACCCCACATCGGGGAGGAGAGCGGACCAGCAAGGAAGTCAGCAGATGGCCATCACCTGCAGAGCCATGCTATGTCCAGGAAGTCACTCCCATAGAACTCAGTTCTACTCAACCAAACAGCAGTCACTAGATGGCGAGAGCCTTGGGTTCCATTCCCAGCTCTGACACTTGGTAGTAATTTCAATGCAAGCATTTAGCTAACCTATCCGAGTCTCTGTTCCTTCACCAATAAAATGGGGATGTTGACCACCTACTTCATAGGACAGTTGTAAGGGTTACAGGAAATAATGTCAGCAAAATGCCTGGGCACCTAGTGAGCACTCAGCCATCAAGTGCTGCAGGTTCAAACGTAAGATGAGGCCCCTTCCTAGGGGAGCTTATGGTTAGAGCAGGAAGGAGGTAGCAGAGATAGACCACTGTTAATCTGTGCAGTGGGGAAGGCCTCTGAGGGAGATGCAGGTGAGGAGCTGGCCAAGCGCTGAAGAAGGAGCAACCAGCTTGGCTTGGGGAAGTCAGAGGGCATCTGGGCTGGGTCTTGAAGGATGACTAGGAGTTTGCTGGTTAGAAATAGGGAGCAAATGCATTCTAGACAGAGCGATCACTGAGTGCAAAGGCCAGGCGTGGGCAACATGGACAGAGTTGGTGGGATAGAGGGCTACTGGATAGAGGGCAACGAGCAAAAGGTGAACCAGGTGAGGACCACAGGGCCAGATCACAAGGGACTTGTCTGCTGTGCTGAAGAGTTGGAGGCTCCTGTCAGTGTCTATACTTGAAATCAGAGGAGGGACGTGACCAGGTGTGTCTGGGGCAGTGCAGAAGGTGCCAGGGAGGTGAGGAGATAACCAGAATGACCTAGACACAAAGGGGCAAGGCCAGTGTCAGATGGCAGTGTGACATTAAAGAGGAGGGAACAGATCTGAGGGATTCAGGAGGTAGAATCCTCAGGACTGGGTGACTAAGAATTTCCAGCCTGGGTAACAGATGGCTGCCAACCCCAGGGCCACGGCAGGAAATGCCGAGGCAGCCTGGATCTGGGTGGGGGAAGCTGGGGAGCAAGGTCACATGGAGGTTTGCACAGGATGAACTGAGGTGAGTGAAGGTGGAGAAGTTGGGGGACCCCGGTGTCCAGAGAGAGGACACAGACCAGACTTCTTGGAGCATCAGGATTCGAGGGCAGTGAAGCATCAAGGAGGAGCAGGTCAGAGAGGAGGCTGCAGGGGCCCTCCAGAGGCTGGCGGCTGGAGCCAAGGCCAGAGGAGCTTTCAGGAAAGAGGGGACAGTCAGCGAAGCCTGATCCTGCCAAGGAGTCCAGCAGACCATGGACAAGAGTTTGCTGCACCTGACAACCAAGAAGCCACAGGACCCTGGCGACAGCACCCACCTCCATGCACCCAGCAAACAGCACCCCTTGTTGCCGGAAAGCCAGATGTCTCCATTCCCAGCTCTCAGCCCACAGTCTCTGACTCTCCTGCCTCTCTCCCACCTACCAGAAAAAGAGTCCTTGTCCATCGCAGCCAGGTCCCGGGCCTGGTACATGTAGCAGCGTAGATGGTAGCGGTTCCCATCTTCAACAAGGGAAAAAATAGAGGTGCCAGAGTGAGTGGTTGGGGTGGGTAAGAGCTGGGGCGGTTAAGAGCTGGGGCTCGGGGCGAGGTGGAGTCTGTCCCTAGAAAGGGCAGCAGACAGAGGGGCTGAACGAGGGAAACCATACAGGCCACTGTGCGAGGTCAGGAGAACATTCCACAGCTCGAAAGCGGACACCTGACTAATTAACGTGTCCCTGGGCCAGGCTAGGGCTGGGGGAGAAGAGGTAGAGGAGGAGGGGAGGAGGGGAGGCCAAACAGACAATGGGAGCAGCCACAGAGCACAGGGTCTTAAATGCCTGATATCAGATTTGAGTGGGTGGACACACCACACAGACAGGCATAGACACGTGCGAGCGCACACACATGCACACACACACACACACGGCACTGACCCACCAAAAAGCACACAGACTCAGCTCCCCAGAGCCCCACATACACACCTGATCTTATAACTCTATCCAAACAGAAGCATAAGGTGACACACCCCTATCACCCCATAGATGCCTCGAAGCCTCACTTACAGTCAAATATGCAGGAAATTGTGGGTCTGTTCACACCAAAGCTCAAGGTGGAGACGGACATGGAATCTTCACTCTTGTCGTCCACCACGCCGCCCTGGAGACACGAAGCTGGTTATGGCAGATTCTGCCCCCAGGCCTGGGGGTGACAGGGAGACTAGCCCACAGAGTTAGATCCCCAGGGCCAGGAGATCTCTCTGCTGCTGAAAGCTGAGCCATCAGCCTCTACTTTCATTCTGGGGAGCTTATCCTCTCCTAAAAAATCACCAGACTCCAATGTCAAAGCACCAAAGGACTGTGGGAAATTCTTCTCCCTCTCTAGTGAAGACCAGATGAGCCAAGAACGGAATTTTTAGTTGTTTCAGGCAAAGAGATTAGAAGGAATGACTCGAAGGGGCTCTCCAGGAGAGAATCAAATGGGGATCTGTCCACTAGGGACAAGTCCAGTGGAATCGCAATGTGGAGGTTCCAGGCCAGCATCTCTGGGTCCCCATCTCTGCCATCCCCTGCTAACACAGAGCTGGGTCCCAGGCTCTGGAGGAAGCTGTACCACACACCCACCATCTCTCACCAGTTCCCACTCTGCTGAGGGTGAGCAGGGCTCAGGCTGAGGCCAGAGGTGGGGACAGGAGTGGGTGGACAGTCAGGCTTGGAAGCCAAGCTGTCCATTTACTGTGTATAAAGCTAGATGGTCAGCCCTGCCACCTCGCCCTCATTAGCTCTGGACTCCAACCACTGAGCCACAAACCACTTTGGGGAGCACCAAGACCAGACCACTTCCCTAGGCCAGACACCCAGCTCTCTGATGCACTTTCTCAGCCCAGAGCCAGAAGCCCAAGCCACAGCCTACAGAGGGACTGGGGAGAGTTGGGGGCCGTTACTAGACACCCCGTGCCGTCTGCTCCCTCTGCACTCACTCAGATGTCTCCAAGTGCCTCTCTCCTCTCCCTCCTGCCCGCTACCCAAACTGTCGCCTGCTCCATTTCAGAGGGGTGGGGTTAAGTAATAAAGTGGCCTCTGCTCCACTTCCTTGTTCAGTCCCACATCTCACAAATGTGTACACACCCTTGAAAGAAAACCCTGGCTCTCCCTCAGACAGCCCGTCATCCCACCAGGCCCACTCAGAGTGGCCAGTTCCCAGGATTCTTCTGCTGGGCCACCCTGACCTTCACCCGGGAACCATTTCCCAAGAATTTCAACCTCTCCCCAGGCTCTGAAGCTACAAAGCCCCCCACTGCCTCCAACACAAGACACCACTGCCACTACTGTGCCCCTGCTCTCCAAATCATGCCCACCCTCAGGGCTCAGTCCAGACCCCCTTGTCCAAGAAGCCTCCCTGGACACCTGTTCTCCCACCTCTGGCCAGGCCATCCCCAAGCCAAAACCAGCTTCATCACCCTCAGTCACTGTGCGGCTCCTTGGCCTGAATCCTTCAGTGGCCTGAAAGGTCCAGTCCAGCCTTCTCCCAGTCAGACCCCCAGTGACCCGCCCTATCTTTCCCCATCCAACACCAAGGCTTTCTTCCCCCAATCCCGGCCCTTGGCTTCAGGCAAACCACACTCCTTAAAGCTGTCCCAGACGTACTCACTCCCATAGCAAGCTTACGCTGTTCCACAGCCAGAGGTGCCGTCAACCATCCCAGGCCGCCCCATCTTCAGATCATCTTAGGACACCTAAGCAAAGCCTGCCCTGGTCACTCTGGGTCAACAAAGAATTGCACCCTAAAGGGTGGCTGGGCCTTCCTCTGCTCCACTGCTGCAAAGGGTCTGCAAAACACACACTTGGGAAAGACTGAGTCCCTCTGTTCTCCCAGGGGACTCTCCAAGGTCCTGCTATCCCTGGGTGGGCTCTGACTTCCACTACAGGACATCCTCATTTCTGACAGGGAGATGCCCAGACTCTCCTCTTCCTTTAGCCACAACTTCAACATGGGCTCTGAAATCAGATTCCTTGGCCTCCAGTTCTGGCCCTGCCATTGACTACTGGCTGTGTGACTTTGGGCAAGTTGCTTCACTTCTCTGAATCAATCACTTTACAAATTTGGGATAATTATACAGTAGCTATTTTAGAGAGTTGCTTTGATTATTAAAGAAGATAGAGAACATGTAGTTCTTAGCACATTTCCTGGCTCACAGTAAATGCTCAAGAAATGTTAGCTATCAATGACCTTACAGGGCTTGGGGAGGGGGCGTGTCATAAACTATAAAGTTTGTCATGTGCTGGAAGTGGTATTCACATCACTCATATTTGTTCAAAATGATTCCAAGGTGTTAAAGTGGACATTTCAGTAAGAATCAGGCAAGCCAAAAAGGGCCTCTCCCAATGCCTCCAGGTGGTTTATACATGGTTTCTCTCTCTGTCTGTCACACACACACACACACACACATACACACACACACACACACACACACACACACACAGGGAGAGGTGTGATACACATACAAGGAAGGACCCAAAGGCCTGAAATCCTCCCTTGTGAACAGGTGTGGAAGCCCTGGACCCCTGGCAGGAAAGGCATTTGGCCTGGCCCTGAGGCACTGGCGTCCCACTGGAGGGAGCACCAAGCCCAGCAGCGAATGACCACAGAACACCCCCCTGGCTGCAGGGTGTGCAACACCAAACACAAAGCCAGACGTGGGGGCCCAGCAGGCCACTTGGACTTGAGAGGCAGGGACACTAAGGAAAGCTCGTTACGCTGGAAATAGGGCTTGGCCTGCCCCCAGGTGCAACAATGCGTGATGCCTGCATCTCCAGCACCTCCAGCTGGGGCACAGGTAAAGGGTGGGAGCAGTGGGAGTAGGGAGGATGGGGGTGGACTCAGCTGCGGGTAGGCGGGATGGACTCTGTGGTCCGTCTAACTTGGTCTGGCCACACACAGGTGCCCCATCCGCAGGTAGGGGGCTAGGGTGAGCGTAGGGAGGGAGGCGCCTCCAGCCCCAGGTCCCCAATCTTCCTCTCTCCCTCCCAGCGCCTGCAGGGACCTCCCTGCTTGCGGATGGCTGCCAGTGCACATCCCCACTCACCTCGCACCTCCTCTAGATGGCCCCCCTCACCAGGCCCCTGTCAGCACCACTCCCAAGGCCTCTGTCTGGGGTTCTGGCAGCATGTTCTGGGTCTCTGTCCAAGGGCAGGGCCTCCTGCCTGCGATCAGAAGCAGCATCTCCCTCCTTGGGATTTCCATGTGGACCTCACTGAGTCCTTGGCCCCTAGCAGGCCCTGGCCCTGCAAGTGACTGTCCTGCAGGGAGAGGAACTAGCACGCCCTCTGGGAATGCCCCTCACACCGTCTGCTTTCCAAAACCTGACCTGGCTCCAGAAGAGGGGCCCAGCCACACCACACCTGGTCCAGGGACCCGCTGCCCACCCTTACCCCATCTGCCACCCGAGTACAGACCTTCTCCCTCTACCTCAGGGAGACAGATGAGGACTTTTGGGAAGAAGCATTACCAGGGGACCAGGGGAGACACACCCCCCAGAGTCAGGCGCCCTGATTCACACTCTGGGCAAAATTCCCCCACACCTGGCCAACATCCTTATATCCTCTGGTCCACTGCCCCTCCCAGGGAAGCCTGGACTCTCCATACAGCCCCATTAGACCCTGGGAGCAGAGGGAAGGCCACCCCTCCCTCCCGGCCCACTGTGGCCTCTGAATTGAGTCTCTGCCAGTCAGGACACTACCAAACCCACACAGCCCCACACCCCTACAACCCCTACCTGCTCACACCAGCTGGGACACTCTGGGGTCTCCTTTCTTGCCGCCAGGCCCTTGCCCTGTGTGTCCCCTGACTTTTCCATGCAGTCTTATCATCAAGGTCGCCCTGCAAGGATGTGTTAGGTACCCCTCCTGGGCACTCCCACTTCGCCCTGAATTTCCCCAGCCACTACACTCACCACCTAACATTGCAAGCACCCATCTTCTTGTCCCGCCAAGAGCCCAGCCAGGTTCCCAGAGTGCACCCGTCACCCAGCAGAGCACCTCACAGGCAGTAGGTGCCCAGCACATCATTGGTGAACGAGTGAGGGAATGCACGAACAATGGGCACTTGCCTCAGGGGAAGACAACTGCGTCGGCATTGAGGAGGGCAGGTGACACAGGCCGGCCCGGTGGGGATCCGCCAATGTCATGCCTTCTTGACTTTGAAGTACGTTCTGGTTTTCAGGTGTGGACATCAGCGTGCTCAAGCTTGGGGAATTTCTCTCAAAGCCAGTAACAAAGCCTCTTGAAAACCCTATCTGGGAACTTTGGGGAAGCATCTCCCTCCCATCTGTCTCTCCTCGGACGTGCCACCCATTTACAAAACACCTACTCTGTGCCAGGCATTGCCCATTCAAGTTGTGAAATGGCTATTGCTGCTCATGCAGCCAGTGGCACCTGTCCAGAGAGGCCATCCCTGCCAATACTGTTGAAAATTGCATTCTAACACACACAGCCTCACACGCACCCACACAGGGCTACTGTGGAAAACGCAGGGCTCTTCGACCTTGGCACTATTGACATTTGGGGCTGGAATATTCTTTGCTATGAGGCTGCCCTGTGCATTGTAGGATGTTTAGCAGCATCCCTGGCCTCTACCTGTTAGATACCAGTAGCATCTCCACTGAGTTATGACCACTAAAAATGTCTCGACATTGCCCAATGTCCCCCTGTGGACAAGTTGAGGGGAACTGCGCCCTATAGAGAACTAGTAGTGCAAACTGAATGAAATGATACCCCACAGTCTTTGGCAGGTACCTGGTTTAACTCTTTCATCTCTCCAGGCTCTTGTTAAATACTCCTCCTCCCCTCTGGCCCTTTGTAAATGTCCTGAATTCATCATCTTTCCTGTGCCACAGGGCCTTTACATAGAGATGTCCACTCCGTTTGGAATGTCTTCCAAATGAGCTAACTCGGGCTTTTCCTTCGCTGCATCATCTCTGAGGCATGGGCACCTCCTTGGCTGCCCAGCCTTCAGCATCAGCCCCCATCCAGCCTCTCTTATCTTCTCCCTTGCATCCACCCTCCATGTATGCGGGCAAGGCATGCACACTCCTTTATCCCCTGCACACAGTCCAACTTCGGGCATGTAGTGGGCATCCAATGAAGATTTATCACATGCGA